GCCGAAGCGATATTTGAAAGCGTTTAAAGATCTAATCGCTTGCGTCAGAGCGATGGACGCGGATGTGCTCACAGTAACCAATGCCACGACCATAAAGAGCACCGAATACGGGGACGTGTATCCCATGACCAGAAAACTGCGGGGCTATTGAGTGATCATCGATAACGAGAAATTCAAAGTGAAAACTCTGGAGCGCAGGACCGGCACCACAGCCGACGCCAGCCGACTGTCCTCTGTCTTCGAACAGCTCTTTTTTCGGGTAAAACTCTATGAGAATAAAACGGCGGACAAAATGAAAGCACTTTTGGCGGACATCGCGGCCGACAAAGCGCTGGTAAAACACGACGCTTTGGTAGTCATTATACTATCGCACGGCGCGGAAGAAGGTATTTACGGCACGGATGGGGTCACTGTTCCCCTCAAGACTATACTCGAGATGTTTAATAACGAGAACTGTCCGCAACTTATCGATAAGCCTAAGATGTTCTTTACTAACGCCTGCAGAGGCAGTAAGTTTTTTGATAACTATATGGTTTTAAATAATTAATGGTTAATTAATTTAGGCAAATTTGACCATGGTACACGCAAGAGTTTGGGTCCGAGTTTAGCTGCAATGGGCACCGCCTATGGAGCGCCTATGGTTACCACTTGGAGTGATATGTTTGTGTACTATTCTTCAATCGAGGGTAAATAAATAATTATACTAAAATGATTATTTAAAATATTTAATTAAAAACCCATCTAGGCTATGTTTCAACGCGTAGTATGTTTAAGGGTTCGTGGTTTGGACAGGAGTTGGCCACGTGTTTGGCTGAATCGGCCCATAGGGAACATCTCAACGACTTAGTGACTATACTTGTGGCCAAATGCGTCAGCGAAAGGATTGGTAAAATTGATGGTCAGTTCAGCAAACAGGCCATTGAGACACACATCAGAGGCAGTGTTAAAAAGGTGTACTTTAATCCGGGTCTTTATTTGGAGAATTGATAATTGCGAGAATAAATTATCGCCCAATTAAGATATTTAATAAAATGGTTTAAATATTTTATATTTCATATTATTTTACTAGAATTTCTTGTATTTCCAAAGGGTAAAGTTCAATGTTAATGGGTGCTGGGCACAAAATTGTATATTAAAAAATTTTATTTTTTTTTAAATTTGCGAAATTAATTATCATCGTAAGCATAATTAAAATTGATATAACTGATGTTTGGTAATGACGTTATTAACTATAAAAAACGTACATAACTGATACTAAATTTCTTAATTTTGATATAACTTTTATCTCTTATGTCAAATTTCAGAAATCCCTTAGGATTACGATTCTACTCTTCAATACATTTCTAGTGATATATAATATGACATGGTTATTTATAAAATGAAAGATTTGATTTTCAAAATCTTACCGATAAATGTGGTCACTGCGGTCAAACCCGAGGTCACTTTACCATATAAAGTATACCACTAGACATTGTAGATCAAGTACTTTCAGCATGTAAAATATCTCTTGGGTGCAAGCGGTCCCACTTTTGAACATACCCCTTTAGATAAATACAAAATTCAAGTATTCATTACAACATTGTTTGTGTTTTTAGGTATCTTTTATACACAAGGATTTATTCTAACAAATATTTATCGATATTTTACAATTAATTTTAATTATACATTAAGATTTTATATAACTTTTATAGTTTGAAGTTTTATAGAAAACCCTAAATTCAAAACAAAATTATTTAAACAATATATGGAAAGTTTTGTAAACCCGTATTTTATTATAACACAAATTAAAACTAAAGAAATAAAATAAAAAAGTTGAAAACAAAATTCTGAGACATTTGTTATTCAATGTATATAACAGTATATTATTCATTGGCCAACATTGACCGCTACCCCAACTGTGGCCACACAAAAAAACGGTGATTAACCCGATTGGTGGCCTGTGTTCGGTCGGTTCGCAATTGATTCCCGTTATACTTAATGCTATGATATCTACACTAAATTATTGTCTGATAACTAATAGTGAATACCAATAACAAAATAATCACTTTAAGCACATCTTTGGTAAAAATATTTTTACTTTAAAAATGAGATAATTTTTAATAAAAATTTTTTTTTGCAAATTTTTTAAAATTATTCCGCCCCACAAACTTTGAAGAATTCCTGTTCATAAACTATTAATCGGTTCTTGATGAAACGTGGATTTTGGTGCCTAGAGATGTCAACTTAAATTATGAAACTAATTTCAGAATTCTAGCTACACTGCTTCACCGTCAAGGAACTAAGTGTCCATTTAATCCAATAGGTTCGTGTATTTTTGGGACAATATTTAAAGTCAAGCATAGATTGGATGATAAGATATATGCCGTTAAAAGAGTACAATTTAATGGTAAATATCATAACTATTTATGAGATAATTAATCATTTAATATAACTTTACAGAATTTAACGAAGAAAGTAAACGCCAAGTTATGAAAGAAAAGAAAAATATGTCAAAACTGGACTCAAAGTACGATGCCAGCCCCTAATGCTTAGCTGGCCCCGATGGCATGGTCACCATTTAAAGGATACAAAATATGGAGACGTGTATCGCATGGCACGCAAACCCTGCGGCTATTGTGTGATCATTGATAACGAGTATTTTGAAGATCAACATTTGGGGCCCAGGTTTGGCACTATAGCCGAAGCCAAACGGTTGTCCTCTGTCTTCGAACAGCTTTTTGTCGGTTAAAATTCTATGGAAATAAAACGGCAGACAAAATGAATAGACTTTTGGCGGACATCGCGACCGATAGCCAACTCATAGGACACAACGCTCTGGTAGTCATTATACAATATTACATATACATTGTATAGGGGATGGCCTAAACAGCATATATGCATATGCAGTTTATTTTGCATATATGCAGTTTATTTTGCATATTGCATATATGCAGTTTATTTTGCATATTGCATATATGCAGTTTATTTTGCATATTGCATATATGCAGTTTATTTTACATTATATTTTATTTTGAACACAATATTAATTATAATTTTCATTAATTATTTTATACTATATCTTAATTAATCTGAACTGTGTATAGCTTCTATTTTCTAAATTTATAATTACTGTTATATAATTTAATACACCATAATAATTAATATATTTTAAATTCACATACAAAATTATAATATAAATATGCAACGATTATGTATAATATACCATGATCGTTAATACAATTTAATACATGTACATTTATATTACATAAATTTTTATTTACATATTAATATAACCTAGGCAGGTTTTCACTCCGAGTCCTCCTATTTTCCTGCTTATGTTATAATTAGTTAATTATATATTAGTTTTCTTTTTAACACAATATTCATTATAATTTTTTATTTATCATTTTATTTATGCTACTTATATTTGTAATTTTGCATTTTGGTAGTTAATCAATATATCATGTATTTTATTTTTATTTTGATACTTAATAAAAATTAATTAAAAATATAAACTTGTAATTATTTTTAAAAGTATTTATATACAATATTTAAACACATAAATGCATGATTTATAATAATTTATAAAATAAATGTATATTTTTTTCATTCAATATGTAATGTTCATTGAGACATGAAATAATATAGTATCAAATTATATTTACTTAAACTGTAAAATTTAATTATATATACATGTAAATTCAAATAAATATGCAAAATAAACTCCATATATGCAATATGCAAAATAAACTGCATATATGCAATATGCAAAATAAACTGCATATATGCAATATGCAAAATAAACTGCATATGCATATATGCTGTTTAGGCCATCCCATTGTATAGCATATTACATATAAACTTTATATATAAATAATTATAATTATATTTAGAGATATCTGGATTTTTTCTATTATGTAAAATTCATAATTAATGTTGAGTTTGGAAACTCAAGTATCGGTAAAATATACGTAAGTAATATATAAATTAAGATAAGCTTTTCCATTAACTCTGTGGCAAACAGTTTTCAATGTATAATTATTTTATACGCTTTTTATTATATAATTTTCTCCGTTATTCATTATGGAGAAGTTCCTTTAAGAGAAGTTAATTTAACATTATAAGTATAAGAAATCCAACAAATATTTCAAATCTGTGTGTTATGAGGAGGTGTTTATCCAAGAGAAGTTGGAATGTATTAGTTAATTAAAACTCACATAAAAGATATTTATTAAATATAAAACATTTATAATTGTATATTTAATCACTTTTCAATGCATATTATGATAACTATTTATTATAATAGTTTATTTAAATACAAAATTTATTAATGATCTCATGCATAGAAACCCGGATTAAAGTACAGCTTTTTAAGACTGCCTTGACTATGTGAATGAACTGCCTGTTTGATTAGCTTTTCGCCAAAGTATGCAGTCCTATCGCTGACTCGTTTGGCCACATGTATAGTCATTATATTGTTGAGATGTGCCCTATGGGCAGATTCGGCCAAACAATTGGCCAACTCCTGGCCAAACCACGAGCCTTTAAATATATCACGCATTGAAACATGTCCTATATTCAGTATTTAAATATTAACACAACATTTCATTTGTAATAGTGTTGTCCAAAGTTAACCGGCTAAAAAATTTTGACCGGTTAACCGGGTTAAAGTCAAAGATTTTTTTTGACCGATCGGTTAAAAGTCAAAACACTTTTTGACCGACGGTTAACCGTTTAACCGCGACGTAATTGATGTCACAGCAATAATTGGTAATATTTGACTAATAATTGTGTCAAACGCAGTCATAATTTATTAATAAAAAAGTTTGAGTTACGCCCTTTTGTGAAAAATAGCCCCAAAAGTAAGAAAATACCCTAAAATGTTTTCAAAATACCCTAAAAATAAGGGTATTTTACAAATATATTAGGGCATAATGACGTCAGCCGGTGAAAAACGGTTAACCGGTTAACCGCGGTTAAGGTTAAAGTCAAAGATTTTTTTGACCGATCGGTTAACGGTCAAACCATTCTTTGACCGGTTAACCGTTTGGACAACACTAATTTGTAAGTATTAATTTACCCTCAATGGTTGAATAGTACACAAACATATCACTCCAAGTGCTAATGATTGGTCCGTCAATAGCGTTTCCCATTGAATGTAAATTTTGATTCAAACTGATGTGTACACCATGGTCAATTTCGCCTTAATTGAAAAAAACATATTTTATTCAACATATAAAATACATAATTAAAGGCACACTTACCACCCCTACATGCATTTAAAAAGAACATCTTAGGTTTAAAGATAAGTTGTGGACAGTTCTTGTTATTAAACATTTTGAATATCTTGTTCTGAGGAACAGTGACCCCATCCGTGCCGTAAATTCCTTCAGTCGAACCGTGCGATAGTATAATGACTGCCAAAGCGTTGTGTCCTATGAGTGCGTTGTCGGTCGCGATGTCTGATAATATTTTCAACATTTCTTCGGCCGTTTTATTTCGATAAATAATTACCCGAAAAAAGAGCTGAATGAACACATAGGCTAGTCTATTAGTATCAGCTGTGGTGCCGATCCTTCGCGTCATAGTTGAAAATTTCTCGTTATCAATAATCACACAATAGCCCCGGGGGTTTTTGGTCATAGGATACGCGTTATCACGTTTTATGAATATATCTTTCTTGACGGTCAGCACATCGATCTCTGCCTGGAACAGATTATTTCTATCATATAAACCGGTAACTACTTTCTTGAGTTTATCAATAAAAATCTGGTCACTAGAGTCATAATTAGCGACCCTTTCACTCATTAGGCCCGATGCCAAAATTAGCCCGCGCAATCGGTTTAATTCTTCCCAATTTCTAGATTCGATGTCAGCTATTACTGTCTTAACTATAGATTTCGGTTGAAAGTTATTCTGATTATAGTCGTATACATGCCATAGAATTTCATGCAAAAAACATACATTTAAATTAAAATAAATAGCTTAAATTATATTTTATTGTTATATGTTTATCAACAAATATGAATATAATATATAAAGTAACTATAAAATACCAGTAACTTTGATAGTTGTTTTTCATCATAGAATTTATTTTTAATTAACAATTGTTTAAATTTGGTAAATAAAACACATTGTTTTCTGTCATCCATTTTCATTTCATAGACTTCTTTAACTTTTAATTGTTTGAAGTGATATCCATTAATAATTTTGACTAATTTGCTTTTTATAAATTATCTCACATTTGGTTACTAAGAAATGGATAAGTTTAAGAAATTTCATATTAACACTAATACTGTATTGTATATCCACACGTAAACCACAATTCGGGCAATGCTTAAAGAATATATTCGCCTTATTTACACATTTAATACTAGTCCATAGAATTAGATTCAGTCCCATAAAGTTATGTGGAGAATGTCAATGGAGAAAGCTCCATAAAATTATCCATGTAAAAGTATAGCCATATATTTAAACTGTAATCCCATGTTAAATACTTTAGGGTGGGGAGGTCGGAGTAGGGATAGCCGAACGATTCTATAATCCACATTATTCAATGCTGAATTGTGGTTAATAAATTAATCTTATCTAGTTATTTTTTGGGTAACTAATAAAATAGTAACTAACTAAATGATTCACATGTTGTGCTTATATGCACCCAAACAATTAAATAAAAAACAATTATAATAAAATGGACGAAAATAAGGATAGATGTGTTGCTATATTTAATGAATTTAAATCATTGTTAATTAATAATAAGTTCTATAACGAGAAACAACTATCACAACTACTGGTAATTTACTGTTATATATCATAATTATTTTTATAAACAATATAATTACAAAAAATCATATCAGGTTAAATTAATATAATTGTGTTGTATTATAATGTGGGTAACTATAACCAGGATAACTGCCAGTCGGACACTCGCGTAAAGACAGTAATAGCGGACATCGAGTCGAGAGATGGGACGGAATTGAAGCGATTATGTGGTCTAATGGTGTCGTCGGGTCTGATCAGCGAAATGGACACCGATTCTGACGATATTAGCCAGATTTTGAACAATTTGTCATTTGAAGATGCAATGTGTTGTATGATATTGTTGGGAACGGGTATGTTGACCGTTAAAAACGCCACTACTATACAGAGCACAGAATATGGAGACGTATACCCCATGTCACGCAAACCCCGGGGCTATTGCGTGATCATCGATAACGAGTATTTTGAAGATAAAGAGTTGTCGACCAGGTTTGGCACTACAGCCGATGTTAGTCTACTGACCGCTGTCTTCCACCAACTTTTCTTTGATATCAAACTCTATAACAACAAAAGTGCGAATCAAATGAAAACACTTTTGGCGGACATCGCGGCCGACAGCGCACTCGTAAGACACGACGCTCTGGCGGTTATAATGCTATCGCACGGCGCGGACGAAGCCATTTACGGCACGGATGGGGTCACTGTTAACCTCATGACTATACTCGAGATGTTTAATAACGAGAACTGTCCACAACTTATCGATAAGCCTAAGATGTTCTTCATTAACGCCTGTAGGGGTGGTAAGTGTGACAATAATTGTCTGTTTAAAAATATTTATAGTTAATTTAATATAGTCACATTTAGCTTTGGTGCACGCAAAAACCTGGGATCAAATTTTACTCCACTACACACTATATCTATATCTAATACGCCGATACCTAATTCTTTGGAAGCCGATTATGTTATGCGTAAAAGTTTGGACCGATTTTATTATAAATTAGAACTGTTTCTAATGCACGTGTTTAAATAATTAATGTTCACTAAATTCAGGCAAAACCGACCCTGGTACACGCAAGAGTTTGGGGCCGAATTTGGCTGCAATAGGCAAACCCTCTACCGCTCCCATAGTTAGCACTTGGAGTGATATGTTTGTGTATTTTTCAACCGTTGAGGGTAAATAATTGATTGTGAATATACAGTACATAGTAATTTATTGATATTTTAATTCTGACCATAGGCTATGTTTCAACCCGTAGTATGTTTACGGGCTCGTGGTTTGCACACGAGTTGGCCAACTGTTTGGCCGAATCGGCCCATAGGGAACACCTCCACGACTTAGTGACCATAGAAGTGGCCAAACGAGTCAGCGATAGGATTACCGAAATAGATGGCCGACCAATGAAACAGGCAATTGGAGCACATATCAAAGGCAGTGTTAAAAAGGTTTATTTTAATCCGGGTTATTATTTGGAGAATTGATTATTGCGAGTATAAATGATTGCATAATTATCGTCCAATTAGGAGATAAAATTCATAAAATGGTTTAAATATTTTATATTAACTATTATTTTATTAGAATTTATTTCCAAATTTAGATAAATACAAAATTTAAGTTTTCATTACAGCATTGTTTGTATTTTAAGACATTTTTATACACAAGAATTTATTCTAACAAATATTTTGTGCATAAATTATACCTAAAAATTGTTTTACAATTAATTTTAATTAAAAATTGAGTTTTTGTTCTAACTTTTAATTTAATTATAATCGCAAATAGTTTCAAAGCAAAACTATTTAAACAGAATATGTATAACATTTAATTTCAGACCATATTTTTATAACAAAATTAACATAAATTATATAATATTCGATATTTAAATAATAAACAATTTAAATTTTTGTATTACCGTACAATTAATGTCAAAACATAAGCTCTAAAATATGTACTTTTTGTCCGTAAACAGAAAAAACTTACAATTAAATGTATAAATCAATATTTAATAACAAGGCATTTTATAATGCATTAGATAATTGGCTTAAAATTTTTTCCATTTAATTAAAACCTAAAAACAATAGTTTTTTCATACAATTTATCTGAAAATTTGTTTTAATTACAAATCCATTCGTTGACTATCTATAAGATAAAAGGCCTAAAGAGCTATCTCTTTGTGAGGAGCGGTCAGCGGCTGGAAATAGGAGTCCACTTCTTGGGCACTGATCTCTTCGAGCGTCCGGTGCTTCCAAACGGGCGGTTCCTTTGATTTGTTAACCAATACTGCAATCAAATGCCAAACAA